GACCCCACACTTGGGGAAACGATGCTCAAACCACCCCAAAACTTTGGGAAGCAACGATCAGACCACCCCAAACCTCCACAAAGGATTTTTAAACCACCCCAAATCTGGACAAGCGATGCTCAAACCACCCCAAAACTTGGGGAAACAACAATCAAACCACCCCGAACTTCCACAAAGGATTTTTAAACAACCCCAAACTTTGGCAGACGATGCTCAAACCACCCCAAAACTTGGGGAAGCAACGATCAGACCACCCCAAACCTCCACAAAGGATTTTTAAACAACCCCAAATCTGGACAAACGATGCTCAAACCACCCCAAAACTTTGAGAGACGATGCTCAAACCACCCCAAAACTTGGGAAACTTCCACAAAGGATTTTTTAACCCCCCCAAACTTGTACAGACGATGCTCAAACCACCCCAAAACTTTGGGAAGCAACGATCAGACCACCCCAAACCTCCACAAAGGATTTTTAACCAACCCCAAATGTGGACAAACAACGCTCAAACCCTCCCAAACTCTGACAGACGATGCTCAAACCACCCCAAAACTTTGGGAAACAACGATCAAACCACCCCAAACTTCCACAAAGGATTTTTTAACCCCCCCAAACTTTGACAGACGATGCTCAAACCACCCCAAAACTTGGGGAAGCAACGATCAAACCACCCCAAATCTCCACAAAGGATTTTTAAACAACCCCAAAACTTTGACAGACGATGCTCAAACCACCCCAAAACTTTGGGAAACTTCCACAAAGGATTTTTTAACCCCCCCAAACTTGGACAGACGATGCTCAAACCACCCCAAAACTTGGGGAAGCAACGATCAGACCACCCCAAACCTCCACAAAGGATTTTTAAACAACCCCAAAAGCGGACAAATGATGCTCAAACCACCCCAAAACTTTGACAGACGATGCTCAAACCTCCCCAAAACTTGGGAAAACAACGATCAAACCACCCCAAACTTCCACAAAGGATTTTTTAACCCCCCCAAACTTGGACAGGTGATGCTCAAACCACCCCAAAACTTGGGGAAGCAACGATCAAACCACCCCAAACTTCCACAAAGGATTTTTAAACAACCCCAAACGTGGACAAACGATGCTCAAACCACCCCAAAACTTGGGGAAACAATGATCAAACCACCCCAAATCTCCACAAAGGAGTTTTAATCCCCCCAAACTTTGACAGACGATGCTCAAACCCCCCCAAAACTTGGGGAAACAACAATCAAACCACCCCGAACTTCCACAAAGGATTTTTAAACAACCCCAAACTTTGGCAGACGATGCTCAAACCACCCCAAAAC